ACTGCTTCGCAGTACACTGCTCCTACATTGCGTTTTCTTTTTTCCCCCACCCTTTAAGAACATTAACTTGAAATGAAGCGGGGAGTGCACTCTTCTGCTTTATAGTTTTTTTTTTCTTTTCAGACGGCGACTACCAACAGAGGCATGCGCCATCACCAGGAGATGACGTTACTACTAACCTCTTTAAAACTAACACGCTGAGGATGACAAGGCGCCTTTGACGAAGATAGGTCCTCCTCTCAAAATGTTGGCCATCCTGTTTGTGGCACTTCTACTGTTCACCCTGATTATCCCACTACGTGTTTCCATCTGTCAGCTCCCATTTTGATTTATGACTAGTATATAGTTAATATTTTTTTTGCTTAAAAATACATACTACCGTGAAACCTTGGTAGAATAAACACTACATTAACGAACTTTTCAGATGAACAAACTCTTGAAAAATCCCGCGCCGCCTGCTAATAGTTTCAATGTAAAATTATTTCACTACTACGTACTTGAAAACACCGAACTTTTCAGAATAACAAGTGCTAATTTAGTTCCACGTTATATCAACAACGCCTCAGTACTACGAACTCATGTTTTGAAATCTGTTGCGACCACCGGAGCGGTACGCAAGCAGAGGACACAGCAAACGGACGCGTTGCTTCTTGAAAGACGGATGACGGTGCAGAGGAAAAAAAAATATGAAAGGACGACTTTCTTCTCTTTCTTTTTCTTGAAACGCCAACGCTGCAGGTTTACAAGTGCAGAGGCAAGGGGCGAGGGCCACACGGGAGGGCAAGCTCAGCGAGGTAGAGTGCGAGTTGCAGAGCAGGAAGCATGGGCGTGGTAAACCTGAGACAGTGAGGGAGCAGAAAACGAAACGTGATAAACTTTCTTTTTTACCTCTTTCTTTTTTTTGGGAAGAGGCAACAATAGCCGCGACGCTTCGGGGTTTTTCTCATCTTCGTCACTTCCACATGTGCTCTAGGAGGCCTTGTCGGTCATGTTTATCTCTTTTTGGTGATTAGTTATCGCATCCACAAAGAAAGTCGGCGTTAGTGCTGCGGTGCTACTACAATGAGTTCATATCTTCTTGCGATGAAGAAGAGGACGCAGTTTTCGCTAAGCGAAGAAGTGGATATTGTTCGGCATCCGGAAGACAAAATGCACGCTGTTGTGGCCAGAGAACTTGGAGTGGCCCGTTCCACAACTGCCTTGATCCTGAAAGATAAGGACAAAGTAATGAAGTGCGAGGATCAGTCGCAACTTGCCCCCTCAAGGAAGCAACCGCGGCTTGGTGACTTCCAGTTGATAGACCCTGCGGTGCTCACATGGTTCAAAGACGTAAGAGCCCAGAACGTGCCCTTGCCGGGCCCACTGATTCAGGAGAAGGCGCGAGAGTTTGCTGCAATTTTGATTGTAACAGACTTCGAAGCATATTCTGGTTGGCATCATCGTTTCCGCCAGCAAAATGCAATCACCTGGCGGACTGTGTCCAGAAAGAAGAAGGCAGCAGACGAAGCGGCAGCGTCCACATAGCCGGAAGAAAAGTTTAAGAAAATAGTAAAGTCATACAGTGCGGCCGATATATTCAATGCCAATGAGACAACCTGCTTCTACCAACTTCTGCCAGACAAGACGATGCACTTAAGTGGTGAAGGGTGCTAGGGCGGCAAAAATTTGAAGGTTTGCGTTCCTGTTTCGTATCGTCGCAATGCAACCAGCAGAGAGAAGCTTAAGTCTCTCTTCATTGGAAGGTTTCCGTAACCACGCTGCATGAAGAGTGTAGTGTCCCTTCCATGCGATTACAGGGCAAACAAACAAGCCTGGATGACTCGAGAGCTCTTTACAAAGTGACTTCTGATCGTGGACATAAAGATGAAAAAGGAAGGACAGAACAATTTAATGATAATTGATAACGTCTCGGCACGCATCATCAACGAACGGCTGACTAATGTGTGCCCCGAGTTCCTTCCATTCAACTGCACATTTGTGCTTCAACCTATCGACCAGGAAATAATTAGGAGTGTCAAGGCACACTTCCGCAAGTGCCTTGTTCAGCGTGTGCTTATAAACCTGCAACTTCAGCAGTCGACTGTAATTAACGTACGACAGGCGGCGGAAATGCTCCCCGGCGCAGAGTGGAGGGTCACTTCAACAACTGTTCAGAGATGCTGGTGGAAAGCAGGGCTCATGCACACAAGTGAGAAGCCAAAAGATGCCGGGCAGCCATGCAACGATGACCAGGCGGAGGAGGGCAACCCTGGCGAGCTTTGGATTGAGGAGACCGATCTGCTGGCCATGGATTCGGTCTTATTTGATTGATTATGTGCTGTGCGATGAAGGAACCCCAATATCAGCAGAGCTGATGACAGAAGACATCCTTCAAACCATTCAAGATGAAGGCCACGACACTAGTGTGAACGACGCTGCGGACAATGAAGGTGCAACCTCGTCCCAACTTGAAGACTGTGACGAGGCCGTTACAGCGGCAGATATGATGGATATTATGAGGAAAGCACGCATTTTCTTAGCGATAAACGACAAAGCGACTGAGTCGCACCACAAGAATGTGGATAAGGTGGAGGCCTTCGCGCTGCAACGTTAGTGTTTCATGCTTCAAAAAAAAAAAAAAAAGAAAGAAAAAATCACAAACTTCTTCAAGTAAATGTCCAATTTTTGATGTTCACTTGTGCATTTGCTTTTCTCATGAAAAATGAATTCAAGGACCCACCACTGTAATAATAAGTCGTTTTGATCAATGAAAAATAAGCATTCATGGTTAATTTTTGGGCTTTCACTATAACGACCTTTCAAATTAACAAACAAATTACCACGGCCCCCTGTTTGTTATACTGAGATTTGGCGAGAATGACGAGTGCAGTGGGGTTCGCTTCTGTGTCCAGTTTTCTTCTTTTATTCCATGGCGTTCGTCGTTTCCCATACGTGTGGATCGTTCGGTATTGATTGATTGATTTGTGGGGTTTAACGTCCTAAAACCCCCATATGATTATGAGAGACGCCGTAGTGGAGGGCTCCGGAAATTTCGACCACCTGGGGTTCTTTAACGTGCACCCAAATCTGAGTAGACGGGCCTACACCATTTCCGCCTCCATCGTAAATGCAGCCACCACAGCCGGGATTTGATCCCGCGACCTGCGGGTCAGCAGCCGAGTACCTTAGCGGATCGTTCGGTACTTTGCTCCTTTGGGGCTCATCACAGAATACGCATATTGTTGTGGTGATCAACTCAGGAATGAGTGGTGGTGATCAACACAGGAATCAGCACGCCATGAGTCCCCACATGACTATTGCACGCAATCACAATCCACTTTTGCTCTTTTTCGCGCGCTTTTCCTGGTTTTATTTTTTTGTTAGAGAAACACGACACTGCGGCTATGTTCAGCAACAATCTCTCCTTTTCAAAATGATACAAAGGTGGCGGCGCTCCGTCAACCGAGAGCTCAGCTACAATCACTCCTTTTCACAACGATACAAAGATGGCGGCTCTCCGTCAAGCGAAAATTCAGCTACAATCTCTTCTCTTCCCAATGCTATCGACATGGCGGCTCTCCGTCAAGCGAGAATTCACCTACAATCTCTCCTCTTCACAATGATACCAAAATGGCAGCTCTTTGTCAAGCGAGAATTCAGCTACAATCACTCTTCTTCACAATAATACAAAGATGGCGGCTCTCCGTCGAGCGAGAATTCAGCTACAATCACTCCTCTTCACAATGATACAAAGATGGCGGCTCTCCGTCAAGCGAGAATTCAGCTACAATCTCTGCTTTTCACAATGATGCCAAGATGGCGCTCCGTCGTGCGAGAGCCGCGGAATTTGCAGCAGGGCGGCACCCCCTAAAGACGAATTTTTTCGTGGTTTTCTATGACAACACACTGATAAAAGTGCTGCTTTCTTCTTTACTACAGCATAGTTTATTATAATATTTCACCATGAGATAAAAAAATATCTTAAGATTGCGAGGAAAAAAAATCTATCGAAAATGGATAATTTTGACTAAATTTATTGTTCCAATTGCTGCGTCCCCCCTTAATGCCTTGCGTGTCCTAGCAGGTGGCTGAAGATAAAACTTTTCTTCGGTGGTAAGTCATACCGGCGCGTTTCTCATTGGTCGCCACCTCGCTTTTGTTCTTTCCCTATGAGTATCAGCAGCTAAACGCATAGCTGCATAGCGTGGATGTTGGAATATTTGATCCACCAATTTCTGCACTACTCAAAATGACAAAAACCATTTGCGGCAAGTTGTCGCATCTGCAAGTTCAGTGACGCAGTGAACTTTTATGGCGCAAAGTGTTATCATGGTACACAGTTGATTCGCACTAACCGGTAGAGAGAGAATAAAATGAGGGAAAGGCAGGGAGGTTAACCAGAAATTGGAGCATCCGGTTTGCTATTCTGTACTAAGGGAAGGGAGAATGAGGAATAAAGATGGGACAGAAAGCGAAGGGCGAAATTGATGCACGAAGAAGAAAAGAAAAAAGAAGTGAGCTGGGGTGCTATAGCCTATTCAAGAGGCCACTGCCATGCAAAAAGTTCAATAAGGCATTCAATGATTTTCTGTGCGAAGACAGATTATGTCACCTTAAGCATAAGACAAACTACTTTGTCCCCGAATCCATTAGTCTTTAGGAGACTGGGCTGAAGGATTTGCCACAACTGAATTTTAACTGCTAGTAGACTTAAAGCGGGAGCGTACTAATGAGGTTTGACTGCAGTTCCCAGTTATTTGGGTGCACTTTGTACAAGGCAGCAGTTACACTGCAATGGGACGGTAACATTAAAATAGAAACAAATGAGCATGTGCAGCAATATCGGTGCATTTCATAGTTCGAGAAGCAGTGGTAATACCGACACGCTTAATGTGTGTCCCAAGGCCCGTTAAATAATTCCACTCAGCGAAGATATACATTTTATTTGTTTACTTGAATGTATGTTTACTATTAGGGTCCCACCCCAGTAAAGTTGGTTAACAGGGCGGCTTCCCTCGTACCTCAATGGCGAGGTAGTCGTGCCGCCTTTCAGCTGCCCGGTGGAACAGCCCGAAGAGGGACACCATGGGTGAGCGGATGAAGAAGGTCATCTCGCTCCACACCACGGCCGCACTCCACAGGCCCAGCAGGAGAGACAGGGCTCGCAGGCAGTGTCCACGCACCCGGCACAGCCAGTACCACTCTGAAAACAGCAGAACAGCACTACTGACAAAGAAAACTCATACAGTTGGCTTTGGCAGCCTGTCGGGCTGTTGGCCCATGCTTCATAACAGCAGCAGAGTAAACTTATTCAATCAGCCATAAAAACAAAAGTTTAGGACATGTCAGCCTTTCTAAACTAGTGGCAGAGAAATTCTCAGGCAACATCTTTCACCTGCGTTGGCTGCGCTACTTATCGAGCTACAACAATGCTCAAAAGAGCTCTGTGAAGACAAGTGAGGCCTGCATAGACACGGATTAGCAAACTTAAAGCGACGCTAAAGGCAACTATTAAGTTGACGTTGATTGTTGAAATTGCGGTCCAGAAACATCGTAGTGTTACTTTTGTGCCAAGGAAGGGTTTATTTTGAAATAAAATCACATTTCAGAGGTCTGCATCGGGTTAGTGCACTTCAAATTACCCGCTTCAATAAGCGGACCGACTCACGTCACTGTTGCCATGCACAACGTTGCCAAGCTTTACTGCGCAGTCGCCGAAACTAGTAGACAAAACGAAAGCATCAGGAGCCACAGCAGCAACAACAGCCATTGCTCAATTTCCTGCCACTGGCTCCGAGATGGCACACGGGTTTTGGTTCAACTGTGCCCCGCTAGGTGGCATGACCTGTCTAGTTGAACCAAGGAAAATTGAATTTTTGAACCTCTCACACCATTCTTCATGGTAACATCTGGCAATCCTTTTTTTCATGAATCAAACAGAAATGAACAAGCGGAATTTAATTGCACCTCTTGATGCACAGAAGGTTCTTTATTTTGTGCAGCTAGATCACTTACAAGTGAATAATTGTAGGTGGTTCGTCTGACACCATTGGTATCATTTTGAGAATGTTCTACTGCAGTGCACGTATTGTTGCACATTTGCCTTAATTTCTCAGTAAGTAGGGCACTGCTGTTCATAATATTGTCATTTTAGATGTCATACATTGAGCTTTTACTCTGATGTAAATTGTTATTTGACTTTATAGCCCCTCTAAACATGACACTGTAACTGCACGAGCAAATCAGTGGTTCACTTGTTGCAGATAAATAATAGAACCTCAAATGAATAAATAATGCCATGTCGATTAATTGATTGACATGTGGGGTTTAACATCCCAAAACCACTATACGATTATTACTACGCTCCGGAAATTTCAGCCACCAGTGGTTCCTTAACGAGCACCCAAATCTGAGCACACGGGCTTACAACACTTCCGCCTCCTTCGGAAATGCAGCCGCCACAGCCAGGATTCGATCCCGTGACCTGCGGGTCAGCAGCCGATTACCTTAGCCACTATAAATAATGCCAAGTCGGACACACAATAATGCCGGCTAGTAAATTGGCACAGCATCCAATTATACAAGTGAATAGAATATGATCCCGGTAACATACCTTCCCCAATATAAATGAAAACTAGTAAAAAATAATGCCGGCTCCTAAACTAGCACAGCATCCTATTATAGAAATGAATAGAATGTGATCCCGGTAACATACCTTCTCAAATATAAATGAAAATTAACAGCCAGAAATGCCAAGGAAAGTATAGGGGATGTGACTGTGTAGTAGTAATAGTAATGTAAATGTGAATATATGTGTGAAGCCACCACAAGCCATGACTGCTAGTGGTGGCACTGACTAACACTCCTCGGTTTAAACGCACATATATATATACCCCAGAGAGTGAACAGGAGGATGACCGGCATTGTAGCTCAATTGGTCAAACAGTGAAAGCGTTACTCGAAAATCGCAGGTTTGTCCCGACAAGAGGTGAGTTATCTTCTCGTCCACTTTTCCTTCTTGACATTTACACTACATTTACATTACATTTACTATTAATAACATCCCCTATACAGTCGAACTAGCCTATAACGAACCCGAGCGTGACGCGGTATTCGTTCGCTGTATCCCGAAGTTCGTACTAAATGAAACACAGCCTTTAAAAAAAGTTGCGCGTCAAAACACAAACTTTTTATTCCCCCAAAAGTCTGTGATGCACGTGTTTCGAATAACAGAAGCGATAAGGGCGGTCTCGAGTTCATTTAAAATGGCAGGGCGCTAGTTCGCCGAAGCCCGTGGCATAAGCTGCATGATGCACTGACTCCTCAAAGTTTCGTCATTCTCGCAATCTGATTCCTCCAAATCGCTCTTGCCACGTACTTAATTCACGATGCCCTAATCCGTGCACGGTTCCGCAGTGGCGGCATCATCATCGGCCGTAATTAAACTATTGCAACAGATGACGCGCCCACTCCCCCAGGTCGAAGTCAACGACGCGTTGCCACAAATCGCCGCCGCAGTGGTCCTCTTCGGAAGCTTCAGGCTCGGCATCAGGCCCGACGTCGGCGAAGTCGGCCTCGCGAGAACAGTTTCGCGAGCATGCAGCCGTCACCGCCGCCCACGAAATATTCACCATCTACACAGCTGAATACCGGGACATCCGAAGCGGCAAGTTGGCTGCCAGGTGGTCAACAGCTATGAGCAAGCGCTCCGCAACGCGGCACCTAACGCGCGGATTATGCTCAAGCCAAGCGGTCACACTTTCGACGTTTTGTTGAGCGGCAGGAAAAAGCGAGCTAGTCCTCCCGTCGGCTATCATGACCACACGCACCACCAAGAGCTAGCAAGACGCGCACATGCGACACACATGCCAGAACACGTGGAACAGCTCTGGGCCCGTTTCCAGTCAGAAAACGAAACTAATTTGAGCCAGCGTGGCGGGCATTGCAGAGCGGTGGAGACGGGCGAAGAGGTTGTGATGAAGAGAGGAGAGCAGACTTGCGAGAGAAGGGCAAGGAGTTGCGATAAAGAAAGGGGAGGATGCGGTGGGAGGGGGACCTTGAAAACCAAAACACGGGAAGGAGGCAGGTTGGATAGCTTGCTTGAAAGGTCCGCGAAACTCGCATGTAGAAAAAGTTGGAAAGAGTGCATGGCCGCCTGAATCGGTGCGCGCGGCGGTGTTTGAAGAATCGGCGGCCGTAGTCAAAAATCGTTTTGTTGCGCAGGCGGGTTTGCGTGGCCTAACGAACTTCAATATTTCGCTATTCGTTCCGCGCAAACTAACAGCCGTTCTGGCAGCTTCCACACACGCGCAAGGCATGCTGAGTTGAGTGCGAAGTGAGGGAGAACAAGTCCTACACACGAAACGAATCGCAAATTATCGGAGTCGGTGGGGTAGCGTACGCGCGTGCACTAGACGCAGGCTATCAGATACAGTCGGTAGCCGACGATGTTGATCAAAAACGGGGTAGATGGCCGACCGGTCTTCAAAAGATTCGTGGCAGTGTGAAAACACCGGCCTCGTCTGGCGATGCGGAACGCTCAGAGTAGGCGGGGGGGGGGGGGGGGGGGGGCAAAGGATGGAGGGTTGCGTAACAAAAGCGGTAGGGGAGAGCGGCAACTAGAGAGGCGCGGAGGCAGGGTTGGCGTTTAACAATAAGAATGTATGGGCAACTCGCCGATGCCTGATCAATAGTCGAAATTGGTTTCCCGGGAAGTCGGCAGACCGCCGACTCCGTTCACTGTAACCGATCAGCTGCGCTCAGAGACGTTCAATGTAAGTGCGATTTCGTGCCATTGAACCAATGTATATTTTCATGTCACGCGGATGCTGTTCGTTCTAAGCGAAAGTTTGTTTTAAGTGGGGCTATTATATGTGGGCTCGACTGTATTTTCCTTGGCATAATAGTCTGTCAGTTCTCATTAATATTATGTTGTGCTATGTCTAACATCACCAAGTCCTTCAGGGTGTCTTTGTGTCTGGTAGCACAAAAAGACCAAGCATTTGCAGAAACGGCAAGGATTCACTGGTGACATCCCAACGGTGACGTTGTTGCCGACGTGCTGCCATCAGCGCCTGTGGCATCTCCGAGACAGCTGCCGAACTGTCATGTGTCTTGCTCAAGTGACCATTCCCACATGACAACTAAGATGCTTTCATATACTACATTTCTTGAGTTAATACTAATAACAACCTGATCGCAGTGGTGGGAATGCCTTCTGCCACTTTGGAGCGGCCATTGGAGCCAGCAAATTCTGCCTTGGAGTAACTGCCTCAGTGTTTCAAGCAGGCACAGGCTTTTCATCCGGAATGCGCAGCCAACGCAGCGAGCGATGAAACGGACATAATCGTCTGTCCGCGGTACTGGCTAGTTGTGCCCAGCGCGTCGCCTACTTGACATATATGGCATGCCAAGCCAATGTGCCCATTCTGCTTCATACTAAACAAAGATGCTGGAAGAAGCTTACTGTGCAGTGATGCTACCGAGCTCTTCTGATTTAGAGCAATTTTTAAAACAGTAAAATTTTTATTTTGGAGCACTTTGGAGCAGCAAAAATTTCTGTTTTGGAGAACTTTGGAGCAAGTTATTTGCGTCTGGGAGCTTCACATCCTGGAGTGCAGAGGAGAAGCAAGTTGCATTTACATTCAAGGCCATGAATAATTATATTGGGGCTTTTTTGTGAAGAGCTAGAAATATTTCGATTAATTGTAACTCTCAGGGGGCCAAATCATCTTAGAAGCACTCCTTTCACTTGCTGATGCAAAAATATGAATGCAAGCCAAATAGCAATGTGTTTTAGCAAAAATAAGGGAATCATGTGATTAAGAGTTCGAGGAAAGGCACTGAATGAGGTGAAACAAGGTCAGTGACCAAGTCCGATGATGATCTGACGCTTCAGAATCGCATACGAATTTTTTGTTCACTGAGTTGGACAAGTCATCGTCTATTATGAAGCCAGTAGGTGGCGCAACCAGCATCCGTAGATAGGAGGCATAGCCCCTGTTGTCCTATTCATTGTAGCTGGCATTGACTGGATGATTAGAGATTCTAGGAGCCAGCGGGATGACAGGTTTTTTTCGTTGGCAGTGACAGCGGCACTGTCCAAGTCGATAGCATGATTATGTTCATGCACAGGCTCAGCAATGGCATTTGTTGTGTAACTGCTATTAGTGATATCACGTTTGTGTTCTTTGAGGCATTGGGAGAACTGTTTCACCAATGTACACTTGACGACAATCAGCACACAGTATCTTGTACACGACTCCTGGGAATGACTGCCTATCTTTCACATTAACTAGCTGGTTTCGGAGCTTGTTGGTAGGCATGTGCTCAATGCGCAAATCGTACTTTCAAAATAAGTGTGGTACAGCCTCGCTGATTCCTTCAGCGTAAAGTATGGTCATATTGGCACAGGTTCCTGCATACGCACGGGCAAAGTTAGTAGTACCACAACCAAGCTTACACAGCTTGGCTCTAGTACTCATTTGTCAGTTTTAGTAATGAAATTATTAGGATAGCATTTTGCGGTCTAGTTCCCAATAGATAGTCCATAATTCTTTCTTCAAAGCATCATTACCTGTACAGACCTGTACGATGCGTGTTACTAAGAATGACACGACGGACATCTTGTGGGCAATAGGATGATGCGAATTAAAACTGAGATAATGGCCTGTGTGCATGGGCTCCTAATATACAGAGAAGGCTAGGGCGCCTTCCCTGTAAAGACTGAGGTTCGCCTTCCCAGCGAACCTCAACGTCCGATTACAGCCGGGCTAGACTGCACAAGCGCACGCTTCCTTGAGAATTATTGCCTACAGAATGTATCATACAGCCACAGTTTACCGAAATGCTGAACATAGCTGCCAAATAATCATGGTTTCCAGGAACGTATTAAGCGAAACGTATTTACACATAGCTCTAAGCTAAGGGCATTTTTAATTTTCGTGATTTGGACCATAGAAGCCGAGAAATTGTATTAAACGAGAATTTAACAACGAGGTTCCCACGAGCCTAACCGAAAATGCCAGCCGCGCACCACTAGTCTGACCAAATGCACATAAACCAATGCACAAAGTTAATCCAGGCCACCTATAAAACTTGAGAATTGACTGAAGGGAAAAGGAGATAGGACAGCAAGAAAAGAGATAGGAAAGCAAAATGCCAGAGAGAAGGGAACGGGAAAAGACGGCCGTCAATTTCCCCTGGGTGGGTAAGCCAAGGGGTGCTGCCCGTGTGAAGCCGGGGCCAAAGGGTTGTGCTGCCTCTTCTGGAGGGAGCCTTAAAAATCCAAACAGCCGGTGTTGGCCCTACCCCTAAGATGCCCTTTCCATCAAACAGGACTTGACCCCTCCCAGTCCCCATTTGCTACCTCAATCTTTTTGGCTCTTGAACAAGGCACAGCCTGCTTACCAACAGTGGGTCCACACCAGGAGGCCAGCAGGGTTGGCGAGCGCAGGCGGCGCTCTCCCGTCTCTGCATTGCGTGCCACCTCTTCCAGGTGCACTGCCTGCTCCACCAGCAGGCGCCACTGACAGTTGGTGCGGTTGTGGTGCTGCAGGGCTCGGATCACCTGCATTAGTGACATCCAAACAAAGGCACTTCTCATGTCACCATGGCAGAAAAGGGCAGTAAAGCTTGCTAAAATGAAAAACTAGGCGTGAAAAAGCATGAGTGTATAGCGCAACTGATTGGCCGGAGACAAGAAGATAAGTACACAGAAATGTGAAAGCTCCTTGTTGAAAATTAGCACTGTTTAGTGTGTTTATCTTTATTGTGTCTCGTCAATGAGTTACGCTAGATACCATATTTACTCGCATAATAGGCGCACCCCCAGTTTAGTCAGCGAGAAACCAAATTTTTTTTATTTCCTTACATAAATAGGCGCACCCCAAACTTGGCCGTGATCAGTGCTTCTGTTCTATTAGCACGGTTTTAACTCCGTGCCCTCTTACATAGTCTGAAGCGAGCAAAAAGAAAAATAATGCCGACGGCAGCACTGTGCAAGCTCCCTGGTTTCCCCAGGTGATGAAGAAGAGCGGCTGCCTGTGCGTTAAAGTGACCTTTGCACCGACGTGTGGACGAAGCTCTAGCCACAAGATGGTCACGCGTGCTTCTATCAAACGCACTATGAGATCCTCATCAAGTTCGCAGTGATTTTCCTGTCAAAAGAGAGAAAAAAAAAAAAAAAACGCCGTCGTTATCACACTTGCAACTTCATCCACAAATTTAAGAGCTTTTCAGCTTTCCCATGTGAGCTTTTGCCTGTGCTGCAATCAGCTGCCACTACAAGCAGACTTGCACAATGAAAAACTTTTGTCGCTGTTAATTTTTTTCCCCACGAACCTAAACATCATATTACACATACTGCTCTTGAAACAGTGTTTGAGTGTGTCACATGGTTAGTGCCGCGAAAGGGCACGGGCACGCAACAACCGACACGCACAAGCTGGCTCTCCGGAAAAAACTGGGTTCGCTCCCTTTATTGGGACCAACATATAAAGACATACACAGGAGGTACAGGGGGCGCCACGCTTCGGTGGCAGCCTGATCAAAGCACTGAAAGATGGGGACCTCTACATCTCCCCACTTGATTTGAAGCAATAAATATCTGTTGGGAGAATGGAAGAAGCCTGACACAAAGAGCTTCACAAATTCAGATGGCGCGGCAGAACGTGTCAGCTGTAACGTGTTCGCGTCACACTGCTGTCACTGGCCACAGGAGGCCCTTGCGCCGACTGCCCACAGTGGGTTCATGATTTTGTGAGGCTGAGGTTCCTGAGAGGGAAAATGCTGTGGTAGTGGTTCTTGTGCAGTTGTCTACGGTGGTACCTCTCTGGCTGCAGTAGGTGTAAAAGGCACTAGGTGACGGCGGTTGCGCTGCAGGACTGCACCTCGCTCTGTCTTGACCACCTGGCTTCGTGGCCTTTGCCCTGGACTGAGGACTGTACCTAGCATTTTCTCGGGTCGCACCCAGACACGATGACCGGTCTGGAGCGGTGGCAGGTCTCGAGCTCCGTGATGGACTTGAAGTTGTCTGTCTGCTTCCTCTTGTAACCTGCATCCTTAGCGGCGACGTCTTTTCCTGACGGCCACTTGGGACGTAGCTTGGATTCTTGTTTCGGGACCTTGGTTCTGAGTTGGTGTCCCATTAACAGCTGGGCTGGGCTGAAGCCATCAACATCTGGAGTATCCCGATAGCTGAGCAGGGCCAGATGAGGGTCGCTTGACTTTTAAAACAGGTCCTTGACTTTACGAACCATCCTCTCTGCCTCTTCGTTCGATTGAGCGAAGTATGGACAACTGGTCACATGTCTGAAGCCATACAATGCTGCAAATGATGCAAATTCTTGCGACGAGAATGGTGGGCCGTTGTCTGACCTGACCTCTTGCGGAATTCCATGCCTGGCAAAGATGCTTTTGAGAGTGTCGACAAGTGCCTGAGCTGTCGTGCTTCTCAGGGTAACCACCTTCGAGAACCTCAAGTAATAGTACACCACTGGGATGAACGTCTGGCCATTGAGGTGGAATAAATCCATTCCAAGAAATTTCCAGGGACGTCCAGGTAGGGCCACGTAGACCAGGGGATACGCAAGGTTCACGCGGGTGGAGGCACACTGTTTGCAATTGGCGACGAGAGCGGCGATGTCCACAGAGATGCCCGGCCACCAAACCGATTCCCGAGCTAGGGCTTTGGTCCTGTTAATGCCCTGATGACCTTCGTGCAGCAGCGTCAAGAACGCAGGTCGAAGGGATGATGGGATGACTATACGGGGGCCTTTGAGCAAAACACCATGACAGACTGAGAGCTCGTCTGCCACAGAGGCGTACTTCGAAAGGTGCAGTGGCATCTTTGATTTCTGTGGTGAACCCTACTGGCAGAAGAAAATGAGAACCTTGCACTCTCCATCGGACTCTTGTGACTGTCGTATGTCTTCATGGCTCAGTGGCAAGACATCCGATGTGCAGCCGACGACTTATGCTGTAAAGAGTTGCACTTTGTCGAGGGGAGTGGATGCCTTGACGATTCGAGACAAGGTATCTGCTGTCGCTAGCAGTTTTCCCGGCACATGTAGCATGCGAAATCGGTATTGCATTGTCCTGAGTCGCAGTCTCTGAATACGAGGCGGCAACACGTCCAGCTCCATCTTGTCCAGGAGTGAAACGAGCCGCAGGTGGTCAATCTCAACGTCGAAGTTGATGCCGCGGACGAACACGTCATACCTTTGAATAGCCCATGTTATTGCCAAAGCCACTTTTTCGGTCAGGATATAAGGCTCCATGGGTCATTGCGCTGGCTGTAACGCTCCAGGGAAGCGATCCATGGGTCATTGCGTTGTGGAGAAGAGATGGTGTCCTTGTCAAGAGCTGACGTATTGTTCGAGAAAACAGATGCAATGTCCGGGGATAGGGGAGATCGGGACAGTGCATCAGCATCGATATGCTTGTGACTGGAACGATATACAACGCAGATGTCATATTCTTGAAGCCGAAGAATCCAACGGGCAAGATGACCCAATGGATCTTTGAGCGAAGACAACCAGCATAATGCATGGTGGTCCGTTACCACATCAAAAGAACGGCCATAACGGTATGAGCGGAACTTGACAAGCGCCCAAACGATTGCCAAGCATTCTTTCTCGGTGACACTGTAGTTCAATTCAGCCTTGGTGAGAGTTCTGCTGACTGAAGGCGACGACATACTCGGCGAGTCCAGGCTTGTGTTGCGCAAGAACCGCACTGAGGCCGACACCACTGGTGTTGGTGTGGACCTCAGAGGCCGACACCACTGGCGTTGGTGTGGACCTCAGTTGCCGCCGTAGGATCGTAGTGACGCAGTATTGGTGGTAAAGTGAGGAGACGACGAATGGTACAGAAGGCTTGGTCACACTCAGAAGACCATGACGAAATATCAGTGGCACTGCCCAGAAAATCGGTCAAAGGTGCAATGATAGAGGCGAAGTCGCGCACGAACCGGCGAAAGTAGGAGCATAACCCCACGAAGCTCCGTAACTGCTTCAGAGTCGTTGGTCTGGGGAAGTCGGCGACAGCACGTAATTTAACCGGGTCTGGAAGTATACCGTCCTTTGATACGACGTGCCCGAGAATCATAAGTTGCCGAGCAGCGAAGTGGCACTTTTTGAGGTTGAGTTGGAGCTGAACATTCTTCAGGCACGTGAGGACGTGTTTCAGGTGCTCAAAATGTGTTGCAAAGTCTAGCGCAAGGATGACAATATTGCTGACATAGCAGAGACATATTTGCCACTTCAAATCCTGAAAAACCGAGTCCATCAAGCGCTCGAAGGTGGCAGGCGCATTGCAGAGGCTGAAGGGCATGACATTGAACTCATATTGACCGTCGGGTGTCACGAAAGCTGTTTTTTGATCGATCGGCATCTGCAAGGGGTACCTGCCAGTACTCTCAGCGCAAATCTAATGATGAAAAAAACTCGGCACCTTGTAAAGTATCAAGGGCATCTTCAATCCTGGGTAAAGAATACACGTCTTTTTGAGTGATCTTATTTAGACGCCGGTAATCCACACAGAAGCGAACAGAACCATCCTTTTTTTTTTTTTTAACGAGCCCTACAGGTGAGGCTCATGGACTTTGTAGAGGTTGAATGATGCCGCGTTGCAGCATATCGTCCACCTGCTCTGTAATAACTTGGCGTTCCGCCGCAGAAACACGGTATGGTCGTTGCCATAGTGGCTCATGGGAGCTGGTATCGATGTAATGTAGAGTGGTAGAAGTAGGGCCAAGTAAAGGTTCAACAGCATCAAAAGATTCGTGGTACTAGTACAGCAGTTGGAGGAGTTCAGATCGTTCAGATGGTGACAGTCCGTCTGCGATCGCCGAATCGAACACTTCCGAAGCCTGTAGATCAGAGTGGTTGAGAGCACTGAGGGCGGCGAGGTCACTTTGGGATGACTCTTGCGGCACAGTAAAAATTTTTCCATTATCAATGGGCTGTACGCATCCAAAAGATTCGCCTTTAAACAGTTTGATCGTACGCAGAAAGGGATTGGTAAGGCAGAGAGCACTGGCTCCATTAGGAATTGAGAGGGTTGAATAAGAAAGCAGTAGTGGTTTCCGACTTAGAAAGAGGCTTGATGACTCAAAATATGCTACTTCATCACGCATGCCGTCCAAGACCACAGGGAGCAAAACAGCTGTTGTCGGTGGAATGTCAGTGTCTTCTTCGACAACTAGCTTGTGCGCGGTTTGATTCGTGTAATCGTAGGACTGGTCGAACAACGGAAGCAGTTCAAGCTTGGAATGGGCACAATCTATAACGGCGTGATTACACGATAGGAAATCCCAGCCAAGTATGATGTCATGAGAGCAGGAGGAAAGGAAAACACGATAGGAAATCCCAGCCAAGTATGATGTCATGAGAGCAGGAGGAAAGGAAAACAAACTCAACAATGTAGTGGTCCTCCACAATTGTGAGTCGGGCAGTGCAGGTGGCTATAGGTCAAACAGGTTCTCGATTTGCTGCACGTAAGGACATCATATCAAGCGCCGTGGTCACATTTCGGAGCTTGTGGCAAAGTTTGGCATCTATAATAGACACATCGGCACCGGTATCTACAAGAGCATATGCATGGGCGCCGTCTACAAAAGCTTCGACAATACTTGACGACAAAGTGCGAGGACTTGAACGTTTTGATAGCGCAGTTCTTGCCTCCTGAACTGCAACGGCTAGTTTCCCTCATTTTGAGGGGCTGGTTGTGGACGCATGGATAACAAGGAGCGTCGATTGGGTGAAGGTGAGCGACGAGACGAATCTCAGGTAGCGTGGCGTCGCCTGCAGACTTTGTCTTACCCCAATCCATACATACTGTCCAAGATAGATCCCGACACATATGCACTACAGTGCAGTTTCTGCGTCACTAAGACAGCCACCCTGTACCACATGGTATGGGAATGTCCACATAATCCACCTCTACAACCCAGAGCACAGCGCAACACTGTAGAGTGGGAGACAGCTCTGTCCAGCTCCGATCCGAAGACCCAAGAGGTCCTCATGAGACGAGCGAGGACAGCGGCCCGTGCCAATTGGATCCCGGACTAAGGAGCCCACTCACCGACACTCTTTCCTCGGTCGCAAATATATGTTTTATTCTCTCACTCTGCCAGATAGTCACGGGAAGACATGTTTAACTGATGATACGAACTTTCATAACCAAAAGGGGGTCGGTCCATGTAGTTGCTCCGTGATCGGGCGTCTGAGTAGCCGGGCACCACAGCTTTGCCACATTAGCCAAGTAAACGTTGACGGTGCTTAACTTAGCAGCGTCATCCCACCTGTTTGGTTCACTGACTTTTTTGTGAGACGACAGGCAGTCCTCGACGTCCGGATCTTCGGCGCCCGAAAAGATCGGGGGGTCTCGCTGGTGAACCGGGCCGGGGCAAGTAACGGCCGCGAGATGTGCTGTCTGTTGGGCAGCGTCCACTTGCCTGGTCGACGGCAGGGTGCAGGATCAAAGTTCTAGGGTGTAGGTGATGTAGTTACTAAGCACGATCCACCAAATGTAAAAGGGGTTTATTGAAGGAACTGAGCAAGCGGGTGGTAGCTCGAAAGGAACGCAGGCGGACCCAGATGACGGTGCTCAATTGCCGTTCTCTTGACTTTTTCTTGTGTTGATGATAGTTGAGCCGATGGTATCAATGTCTTTCGTATTCACTATATAGGGAACTATTCGGTGCCAACTAGCTCTGACCCGACCTCTGATTCAAAAGTTACCGTTTCTATTTGAATCTAGGCCGACAGTTTTTTTTTCTTCATATTACTTCACATAAAACTCCAGGATCAGCTTAGATTAAAGGATTTTGAAAAAACCCGCCATTTTTGCTGGAGAAAAGTGGTGCACAACTAGCGCCACCTAGACAGTAATACAGCCGTTACTAGTCATGTCAACGCCAGGCCACCATTTTGATTTTTGTGGCGAGTGCTGAGGCGAGTCATTTGTCATTTCGAGTCGCGCTTCGAGTGGTCTGTGTGTGGCATAGCTCAATGGCTCCAAACAGGCCGTGTGATTTTAGTGCCACTTATAAAAGGAAAGTTGTCCTAGCCATGGAGTTGTCGTCCGACGTTGAAGCCGGGCAGTACTTAGGAGTGGACGAAAAAAATGTGCCTCAGTGGAGGGGCTGCAGCATGGGATTACAACCCGGGAACATTTATTGTGCGCTCTTTCAAGAAGTGCGGCTAAGCCAATGCGCTTGGTGGCACCGAAGATTGCGCCGCGTTTGAAGACAGCGACAAAGAAGTCGGCGACGAGAAAAGCAGCGACGACGACCCGAAATGAGCGCAGCATTGGACTAGAAGAAGTGCGCAAAAAACGACATCAAAGAAACACACACAACAGGACTAGGCTGTATGTTTCTTAAGTTATTTGGGACTAGGCTGTATGTTTCTTGAGTTATTTGCATCAGGAACCAACTACTTTGTTTCATCTTCGTAATTAATAAATGTTTTCTCTTTATGAATGCTGTCTTCACTGTTTCGTTCAGCCAACATTGAAGGTAAGTTTTTTTTTTCGGGCTTTCGACTTTAGGGATCGGCTTAGAATCGGGGTCGGCCTACATTTCAGTAAACATGGTATGTGTCAGCAAGAGAACAATAAAATAAGGGGACACAAACGCCATCGAAATGCTGGCTAAACTACCAGTTTTGATAAGATGAACAGCTAAAAACAGTGAGAAGCAGTGAAACAGCAGCCAAACAGACACAAACACACACACACACACAAATGGCAAAACAAGGCCAGGGCTAGGTGGCCAGTGCAATAATAATTGAAATGGCAACAGACGATCAAAACAAAAAACCTAGAAAAACCAACCTGCAGACAAGAACAATTTCGTGCAGTCTCGGAAAAGCTTGCTTCTTTAAGACAACTCTAAGGTGAACGAGAAATAGTTAATGTCACCATGGCTTTCCGCCCATAAAAGCCAGTTTCATGAATCAGCTAGAACACTCGACAAATGGCAGTTTTCCCGGCGAACTACCCATCAGCCTAACCATAAAAGTGATTGTCAGAAAAAGTGATTGGCCAATAAGTAGACGTGCACAAATTGTTTCCCGCTCTGAATCGTGCAGCCTTGCATAGGCAGGCAGATGAAGAAGAAAGGGGCAGTTCCTGTGAGAAGAACTACAGCAACCATTTCAATGAATCGATAAAATTGTGCTTAAACTGGTGTTGGCTGGTTACCCACCTCTGGCAAGGTATAACTGTCGTTCAAGTGCACACAAAACACAAAGAAAGAGAGGAGAAGTGCTTGTCCTCTCTTCCTTTGTGTTTATTCATGCAATTGAACGACAGTTATACTATGCATACCCAACTAGCCCAACTTTTGATTCTGTTGCAACCCTTGGCGAAGCTGCCACCACCATCAGTATGGCGTCCTAGGCAGCATTAATGGGGCGTCGTCTGCAACGAGAGCATCAATGTGCAGTGAAAATGATATTTTAAAATGCCAAAGCGCTGTAATTCTGGCAAAATATGGAGCTTTGCCCCTTCACATGTACACTTGACAATGCTTGGATGAAGAAAATGTTCACTCACTAGAATAGAACCAATATTTCCGTGCTACAGAAGTATGCACCGGTTTCTCTTCTGCAAGTGAGTCTGCTGAATGAATCAGGATCTCATTCATTAAATGTCAGCCCACCATATCAGGAGTCACTTACAAGTCATTTGTCTATGCCTCCCAGCCAGCTAACATTATTTCTGAGAGGCACATGCTATACCTGCTGATGTAGTCGAACGAGGCTGCGCTCAGTGACAGCCGAGCCCGAGAGGACGTCCATCTCGGAGTTAATCCGCTGCCGGTGGCCGCCAACCTTGCTGCCCTCAGGTAGCTGCACAGCAATCAGATAATTATGCCTCACCTGACGAAGAAAGACAGACGAAATCAGGGCTCAAATCAACCCTAGGAATTCTGAAGGACAATGAAACCCCACTGCCACCACACCAATGGTCGTACCGCTTTGGGAAAACAACACTATACAGACATCATGTAGGGCGAGGAGCGAAGAGGTGTGGCTACAAGCTAGGCAAAAATGTCTGCTTTGCCTACAGAACCTGCTGTGAAAGACAGTCGTTACAGGTGGTTTTTGCTCAAGCCATATACTTTTTTTCGCACCAGAGTTTAGCACTGCCACCAGAGCCAGTCACCACTTGTAGCTTGTGCATGCATGTGTGCCTACATATTAGGAGTCTTTTCTTTTTCCGAAATGAGCTACCTAAATCCAAAAACCGAGACTAGCTCAGATGAGGCTCAATTGGCCCGTACATACCCTAAATGTTTCTGTAAAACAGTTATCTGGGTCAAATACAACCAGCTATGTGTGCAAACAGATTTGGTAAATTGAGCCAGATCCGTGTGATGTACAGATTGAAATGAGCCAAATCTGGTACGCCAATGGCACAGCAGTTATGTGAAAATGTCATCCAATAAGCACGGCAACCTCCTTGCAAGTTCCTGCTCAAGTCTCCAGGACACCAAAATAATTTTTTATTTTTTTTTTCAAACCATGGCACTCTACTAGATCTCAAAAACATTGGGACGTGTATGACTGGAAAGCCTACAGTACGGCAGGAATGAAACCGACATCCAGCTTGACGATTAAGATACCAGAAACCAAGGTCTTCTACAGAAGAAAAAATGCAGCTGGTAAAAGCCCTAAAATTAGAGCAGAATCTCACTATAAGGTTTCAGTATAAAGTTTTGTGCCAGTCCTAAAGAGTGCGAGAGGTAGGTCCCTTGCACAAGCTCCCATGCAGTACCCATTCTAGAATCATCATGACAACGAATTGGAACTGAAAGACATGACGAGCCTTCTTGTGAAGCATTTCGACAGTATATGAGAAGAAAATCAAAAGCTCACTTATTTTGTGAGTGTCCTCAGGCATGCCACAAAACATGATCGTACATATGACCCATGCTGTGAAGAAGACACACTGGCTCTTCGTGCATACAGTAGAACCTCGATGATACGAATTTCGCGATGACACCAATTTTAAGGTTCCTTCAGATGGGCTACATTACACAATATAGGCCATAATTCGTTGTTATACAAACAATTTCACCAGCCACTGCGGATAATACTAAAGCGTGACAGACTGCTGCATGCGAACGATGCAACGCGGCTTGTCTGTGAGAAAAAGACCCGTTCAGACCGAGCCTCGAAAGGTGTATATGCGGCAAAACTCGGCCGGATTTTCTTCGCTTTAGTGGCTGGAAAAACACGCCGCGAGGCTGATGCAAAAAAAAATTGGTCCGAGAATAATTTTCCCGCCACGCAATAGCAGATCGTCTACTGTACTTACCGGCGTAATGAACGTACTCGCATAATAAACACACCCCCAGTTTTGATCGTCAAAATTTACATTCTTTTTTGCCCCGCGTAATAAAAACACCCCCTGCATTCATCTGCTGCAGCCCTGCTAACCGCCATTCTTTATTATTCGTCATCGTCATCGTCAGCCTGACTACGTCCACTGCAGGACGAAGGCCTCTCCTATGTTCCGCTAGTTAACCCTGTCCTGTGCTTGCTACTGCCAATTTATACCCACAAACTTCTTAATCTCATCTGCCCACCTAACCTTCTGTCTCCCACTAACCCGTTTGCCTTCTGTGGGAATCCAGTCAATCACCCTAAATGACCAGCGGTTATCCTGTGTACGCGCTACATGCCCGGCTTATGTCCATTTCCTCTTCTTGATTGCAGCTATGATATCCTTAACCCCCGTTTATTCCCTAATCCACTCTGCTCTCTTCTTGTTTCTTAAGGTTACACCTACCATTTTTCTTTGCATTGCTCGCTGCGTCGTTCTCAATTTAAGCTGTACCCTCTTTGTAAGTCTCCAGGTTTCTGCTCCGTAGCTAAGTACCGGCAAGATACAGCTGTTATATACCTTCCTCTTGAGGGATAGCGGCAATCTACCTGTCATAATTTGAGAGTGCTTGCCAAATATGCTCCACCCCATTCTTATATTATTATTATGCCATTCTTATTATGCCATTTTCTGCCATTCTTTATTATTATGCCGACCCCCCTCACCCATCTCGACTCGCTCCCCCCCCCTTCACTCGTTGCCGCGTGCGCGTGCAGTATTGCCTTTCTATCTGTGCGCGGCACGTCCCCCATCTTTTTTACCTGTATGGTGTGAATGTAGAGACATTGCAGCTGATAAGGACACAGTGAGCGAAGGTCACAAAACTTCCCGCGCCAACAGACAGTCGCTTCCTGCAAATACGAAACTTTAAGGCCAAACACCTAGACGCGATTTTCGAGCGACAACGACAGGATTTGCCATCGCTAAGGCCCCTAGCTTTCCGCGATTCCGCGAAAAACCACGGAAATAACGTTTTTCCGCGAAAATATTAAAAACAAGTCGATTCCGCGAAAAATCACGGAATTACATTTTTTCTTCGCTGAAATGCGAAAAGTTGTTAGTTTGTTTGCAATGCCAGCTAACAGATTTTCGGGTGCGCAATAAAGAATCGACATCATTGTAGCGTGTGAAATAACTTCTTTTTGGTATGAGCTTTGGTTATAAAATGGGTGAGACACTTCTTTGAGAACAGGTACGACTAGTCTAGCGCGAAACGGGGCTGTGTGACGAACTTGCAACCATGCTCGCAACCACCCTCCTTGCTCGCAACGCCCTGTCACGAAGGCGGTTCCGGTTTCGTACTCGATGGAAACGCAGAGGCAATCTCTTGGTACTCTTTTTTTTTTCCACAAAGGAAAAAAAGTTCGGGTTAGATGTCGGCGAATCAATGTACTCGTATACTTTATTAGTTAATAGAAAAATTATTCATGTTGCTTTATTGTCTTTTAGTAGCAGGAAAAATTTAAGTCGCCACTGATAACAAGGCTTAACGGTAGCCGTAAGTAGCCGTAGTCACCTATCGATCCAACGTACTCGCTTTTGCGACTGCACGTGTGCCGTGTGCCTTGTTCTCGTTTGCTTTGGTCGTTCTAGCCACCCTAGCTTTGTTTGAAGATCAATGCGTGAATAGACATGGCGCCTTCAGGGTCACATTTAAGTAAAAAGACTGCCAGGGAACGCACTCGAGAATACAAGCACGCCGAGTTTTACGATGATAGAAGTGTGCTTTTTTCCGGGCTTGCGCAAGAGCAGTTCACCATCGCCGCAAATCAACTATTGACGAGCACATTGAAAGCAATCGTCATCGCAAGGATGTCGGAACAAGGGACTCCTTTAAGCGAAAAAGCGGCGAAGAACCATCGGAAGATGGAGCCGGAGGTTCAGGAGCGCCGAGGAAGCAAAGTAGACTGCAAACGCTGGAATCAGCAATCACGGCTAGTGAAGTGAAGAACGATGTTGTACTCAAGTTCTTGAATGCATGGATATCTGAAAATATTCTCATTGGGAAGGTGGACAATCCGAAACTGAGAACGTTTCTGCAGACACACGTTCGGAATGGCGGATCGGTGCCTGGATCTGACGCGCTCCGCCGACGACTTCCAGAATTGTTCAAGAAGCACGAGGAAAATTTGATAGCTATGTTTCAAGGCACCACAGTTTCTGTAATTACAGACGAAACCACCGACGACCGATCAAAATCGGTTGTGAACGTGTTGTTCGTTCAGTCGGCCAGAACGGCGAATACTGCACTACAACCTGTACTTGTGGAAGTGAAATTCGTGAATAAAGTGAACTCATCCGTCATCGGACACATCGTGACAAGAACACTCACGAGGTATGGAGTTGAATTTGAGGATGTATCGGGCTTTATTAGCGATAACGCCACTTACATGGTGAAGTATTCTAAGGAGTGCATAAAGCCACTTTGTGAAAGTGCTGTTCACATTACGTGTGTAGCCCATACAGTGAACATTGTTGGCAGCACACTGCAGGCATCTTTTCCCTTAGTGAACAAGTTTGTTGCCTGTATGAAGAAGGCCTTCCGCCTGTCGAGTAGAAAGAGAGCTTTCTACAAATCGCATCTAGAAGAGTGCAGAGTTCAGTGTGCCAAAGCACCGCCAGCACCGGTCCAAAGCAGGTGGAATTCACGGATTGAGGCTGTGGAACAACATTCCGCCTACTTCGAGAACTATCCCTCATTACTTCAGCAAGTCCACCAGAAGTATGGTGAAGCAGAGTGTGTTGATTCTCTTCTGAAACTGCTTAGTGAAGACTCTACTGAGCTCAGGTACAGCATGCGGTGCATTGCGGTATTTGGGAAAAAAGTTTCCAGCTTGCTGAAAGCAACCGAAGGTCAGCGCGTAGCCTGCCACAAATCGTACATAGGATTGTTTACGCTTTGGGGGTACCTTGAAGCAGCTTCAAAGGAGGATTTTGCAACACAGCTAAAGAGAGAAAATGTTGCACATAATGAGGCCAATCAAATTGAAAGCAAGATGAAGGCTGCAATGACCAAAGCGGCTAACAAAGCACAGGTATACTTGGAGAAGTCCAATACGTCGCAATTCTTTAAGGATGTTAGGTGCTTGGATCCTCTGCAAGTTTGGTGTCTTCCACAGAAGAGGACAGAATTGACAGGCGTGCCTCAGCTTGCAGAAGAATCATTTGCTCTAGCTGCCGAACGGCAGATTTACCTGAAGACTGCACAAGAACTGAAGACCAATGACAGGGACCTGGCTCCATTTGTGTCCAAGCAACAAAATCCAGGAGCAGACTTCGATATCCTGGCTTTCTGGGCAGGGATGAAGCAGCTTACTCCAACCCTTTCATCAATCGCCTTGAAATACTTGGCGATACCAATCAACTCTGTTGATGCAGAGAGATCATTTAGTCACTATGGTGACATTGTCTCCCACAAGCGTCACTTCTCTAAGTGAAGAGAGCACCAAGCACCATCTGATGCTGTGCCACAACAGCTTTCTCCAATTATAATTATTTCAGGCATGTTGCGAGCCTGAAAGTGTGATAAATAAGTTGTTATGTCTGCCTTCTTGCATTTGTTCATTATTACCACAAAATTTTGCATGTTTACAGTTGCTGCGGAATTTTGCAGATTTCTCTGTCTGGAATTGCAGAATTGCAAATTTTATTGCATAAAGTTAGGGGCCCTAACCATCGCAAAGGGTCATTCATCACTATCGTGTCACTGACTTCTGAAAAACCAGAAAAAATCGCTTGCTACCCAGAAAAGATCGTGACGATTTCCGCAACAACATGATATAGCAACCCTAATTCTCCCTTAGCTTGTACTGCACGCGTACAGAAACTTCTCATGTGGAAGAGAGATGACGGCTGTGTTTTGACGATAATCTTGTTATCGACGGTTTGTTTCGATGCTTCAGGGGTAGCTTGCTGCAATGTTGGTTACTTGCTACAATGTCAATGACGGCAGCACGGTCGTCGTGCGAGGTTGCCGCGAAGTTGACAAAGTGCGTCGTAGTGCGCGCTTTTAGGCACCCCTCGAGATGAGGGCCGATGCCACTGTTGCGGTTAAACCATTGCGAGAAAAGATAGCCGCAAAACGCTTTTATGGCATGCACGGGCGGCATGGGGTCAGCTTGCAGAAGATACCGCCATTGACCACCTAAGATGATTAAAGGGCAATAAATAAGCTGTTTCCAAACAGAGTACGCGTATGTGAATTGCAAAAGACTAAGCGAACATTTTTTTTTGCATAACCGCATTTTTTGATGCCTCCCCAAAAAGTTGTCATAAAATTTGCCCAGCATAATAAACGCACCCCCAAGATTCCTCCAATATTCCGAGAAAAGAAGAGTGTTAATTAAGCAAGTAAATATGGCATTTGCTTCACGCCGTGGACTACACCGGCTGCACTAGCTCTCAAACCACGTGATGTAAACAACGAGTCGCAAATTCAACATGGCGGCAAACGTGTCGACGGTGGCTCGATTTGATACAATCACGAACTACCCGTCCAGCAGGACTAAACCTCACGTCCTCGACAAGGATGCATTCGTCAAGAACCTGGTTTGAATTATGATCACTGCGAACAGCGGAAGTAGAAAGAGCTGCAGCAGCAGCGAGTTGGCACACCCTAACACACGCTTTTGTACTGCCAGCTCAATCTGTCACCGCGGCTGCCAGTGCACCCACTAGTACCATTTGTGCTGGCGTATCTTCCGAAAAAAGGTTTGTACAGGTGTAAACTGTTTCTTTTCAGTGCTTTGCACACATAACAAGAATGCAGTACAAGTTTTATGTTCAGGAAACGGGAAAAACAAAATACTTGCTCAAGTGGCGAAGGTGGCGGCACAAGGCAGAGTAAATATGGCAAATTTTATGCGGGCACAGATGTGGTTTCGTGGCCACTCTGGTGTTCTCACTTGAATTCTACCATACTACTGATTTGTTTCGTGTCAATTTCACGACGCGTTTTTCCGGCCAGTCAAGCAGTGAAGCCAGTGAATTTTCTATAAGTTTTGCTGCTTTCCCTTCTTTTGATGCCAAGTATGAAGGCACTTTAAGCGCCAGCAGCATGAGCAAGGAAATTGCGGCCCTTTATTGAGAGGCGGTGAAGGCAGGAAAGTTCAAAAGACCATCATGAACTTTATTTGTGCAAGTAGTAGTTGACCCCCATCAAGTTTTCGTTCACCTTTATGATCAGCTTTCAACTAGTTTTTGGTTCATACGATTTCGAGAATATACAAATTTTTGTCTGCTCTCATCTAATTCATATCATCGAAATTCTACTGTAGTTTGAAGCTCTTGAAAACACTCCAGTCTATTTTTTATTGGTCTTTTTAACTAAACTCCATCATACTACTCTTAAAAGTCAATTTCAATAAAGATTTTCAAGAATACCACATCGAACTCAATGTGTTTATTCAATATGAGCTAGATCCATAGTCATCATGCTAATATTGGTCTTGTCCGCTGTATATTTTCTTCATAAACAACTCGTAGCTGACACGTAAAATTTATAATGTAATACGTTTAACAGCGCTGTTTTCTTTCGCAGCAAATTTTCACTGTTTCCACAAATTCTGTTGAGCCGGATTTGGCTTCTTTGAAAGAAAGACTCATGTGTTGGGGCCAAGTGAAGAGGAGGGTCCGAGCAGGCAGCACGTATGTCTCCCCCCCCCCCCCCCCCCCGAAAACATTAAACGTTAGCACTGTTACTACCAAGGACATCAGAGTTTATCAGAGCAGTGGTATTAGCATTCTTGACCAATTTATCACGACGTCCAACCTAGAACTAGCAATAACAAATGCGTCTTTTTAAGCTCTACTCGAAATGCTGCTTGGCCTCAGGAAAATGAGTGAGCACCACTGAATGGAGAGCACTCATGAAAATTCTCCGAGGAAGGAATGGCGAAGGACAAGGTGGAAATGTGTTTTATTAGGCTGTCATCAAGTTCTACAAAAGTGCACCAGACACCGCATCATGTGATGCACGTGCTTGAAAGATACTGAACCATTACAAAGGGGCAAGCCATAATTCCTAATCCTCAATCAGCAATTCAGCATCAACAAAGTCTTCAGACACAGCCTCTTAAGTGCCAATTACGGTGACGAAAAGGTGCCCCCATTTGATTCACGCCATCTTAAGGAAAGTAACTTAGCGCAGATATTACAAAAACCCAACCAGGAACGACTGTAATACACAGTGTTGCACAAAAATCAAGAAGAGATTGTCTTGGATCTTAATGGAGCCCTGAAACACTTTCTTGAGTAACCATGAAATTCACTGAAAAAGCTTATTGCCTCACAAATTCAACACTGCAAAAGTTTTAAGAATTCGTCCAGTACAAGCGGAGTTACAAAGATTTGGCACGCGCTTCAATCGCAATCTCTCTTTTTTTGTCCTGACAAAAGCCCTGAAAGCTAAGCAGGAGGGGACGGGAAGGGCAAACAAAAAACGTCACGCACATCTCCTGATCTTGAGCACTTTTTTTTTCTTCGAATACACGGCCTTTTTAAGTGCGATTGAGCGCGACATGTTTAAATCAGCTAATGACTGATAGATGGGCATTCTACGAGTGATTTTCGAGCGTCTACCTTGATTTTTCGAGGGAAGAGAAAGCGATTTTAGCTGACTTTGATAATTTATTGTGAATTCCAGGCCGTACGCTATGCTATAACATTTGGCTCGCGTGTTCTCGGAAGCCCCTACTACCGATCGGCGGCGTTTCGTGATCATGCTGAAAAAGCGTTGCAGGGCCCCTTTAAGAAATCATCCTCACACAACATGCAACGTAATGAACCCACTGGGTTGTATACTGGGAATTTTATTTTTTAAAATTTGTTACACTGAGCTTCGAGAGTATTTCAAGTCTTGTTCTATATTTTTTTACCACAGTCTTTGACCCCGATGATCCAACAAACGTCCTAGTATATGCTTGTCTGTGGCAGTCATGGGCACATTACCGGTAAAAAGTAACTGTGCTACAGTTACAGTTACTGAAGCCAAAAAAGTAACTATGTTACAGTTGCTGATTTTTTAAATGTAACTTGTTACAGTTACAGTGAGAAAGTAACGTTGTTACTTTTCCACTACTGCATAAAAATAGATTACAAAACAAATGATGCATTTTAATTAATAAAGTTGTAGGAATGCATGCAGGTAGTGAAAGTTGCTTGTTGTGAAACCCTAGAAAGATGCTGCACAGGGCCATAGTTATGACCTAAACAATGTGTGTGTGAGTGTGGGGATGGGGATCTGGAAACGTGGTTCATTCCCTACGACGCACCGGCTAGCAACAGCAACCCGTCGCCCCCTATCGAACGTTTGTAAGGACACGTGTGACCAATAAACTGATCGACCTCTACTTATTTTTATTTTTTGCCAGTGTCTGCTGAGGATACCACCAGTATAGAAAGCGAAACGTCAATTACTTTGTTAATAAGTATTGTGTTAACTCATAGTAGAGCTTTCACAATTGATTACAAACACGTTTTAAATGCTTCAGGCTTTCAGCAGTTTCATGCTGCTGTTTTCTACCAACCTGTCAAACGCGACTTACTGGAAGCCTCAGACGAAAGAATGCTCCACCGGCATACCAAGAAGAGAGATAGAAGCTCAAGTGACAAAAACGATATATATAATCCCCTTCCCGTCTCCAACACCTCCCCCCCCCCCTCCCAAAAGAAAAGCACGGGGGGGGGGGGGGGGAGGGCACGTGAACTTGGCAAGGTGTTCAGCTGCAACATTATTGATTTACGACATGTAGTTTTACAAATAAACATACCCTCCAGACACACTTCGCTTGAAACCAGCCGCCAGGCGTAGGTCTTTGTCAAATATGTTTACCTTTAGACATGTAGTATACAAGTAAACTCCGAGCTTGGTTTTCTGCAGGGAAGATATACCTCTTAGCAGCCTGTTCTCTTAAACTGCGATGGGAGCTGTGGAATGTCAAAAGGTGGAGGGGATATTGTAAAAAAAAGTATAAAAAATAGAAAGCGTGTAACGTCGGCCTTTAAGGGGTGTGGCAGTTGAATGATTATTTACAAAAACAGAAGTAATTGCAACTGTATTTTTCGGAACAGTTACTCAGTAAAAAAGTAACAGCGTTACAGTTACAAGTTACTCTAAATTAAAAGTAACTAGTTACAGTTACAAGTTACTGCAAAAGGTAGCTAGTTACCGGTAATGCATTACTATTAACTAGATACTGCCCAAGACTGATCTATGGCACCAACCAGAAATGATGATTATACCTTAGCCAGGATGACGTCCATGTGGTGCTGCAGATGGGTCGAGTTTAAGCCGCTTGAAACTTGCTGGATTTGCTGCATAGTTCCAAAGCATACAAACAAAGGCATTGGCACATTTCGCCCCCGAAAGCATTGCCCAGAACAACATAGGTCTGTTAAAGGGTACTGACACTGTTTTTCTAAACGCGAAGCAGAAGTTGACAGCACAGAAAATTTATGAGCAGTTTCATGACGCCACGAGATAACGCACGCCAGCGACTGCGTCCTTTGAGGGAATGCAGCCTCCCAACACCCCCCCCCCTCCCCTAAAACGAAGCAATCAATCCAATGCCGTGACATTTAATTTTTTTAAGCCGTCAGCTACTGACACTAGAAAGAGAGGAACAGACGTGTAATAAAGAGTAACCACTTCCCAGTGGGCCTGGCCTTGAGCGATGGGCGCACTATATAAAGTTGCGCATTTTAAAACCAGATTGTAGCTGCTCCGACCAAGAGACATGTCTTTATTAATGAGATAACATTTCATTTAAAAAAAAATGAAGTAAAATATTTGAATTTGGACCCTTGCACTCATGACCTCGAAAGGACATCGTCTATTCGGGGCTTTTATCGCAACAGCAATTACAAATACGGATTGGCCGAAGGAAGGAATAATCAAAAGCTTTTCTGAATGAAGATCCCTGGATCAGGTATGGTTAAACCTGGATATAATGAAATTGATGGATTTCTGAAAAAATTAGTTACAAAGAGGATTTCGGTAACAGCAAGTTCGGTATGAAACTGAGAGAAATAAGTGCACAAATTAAACAAAAGGGCGAATAAAGGCAGAGCTAACCCAAAACACTTATTCAAGGGCAAAAAAAGTGTGTTATTATTGCAATAGCATTGATATGGACACTTTAGTGGGTTCTCGCTGTTGCCGCCATGTTCCGTAACAAGTCTAAATTAACAACACGCCCCCGCGCATTGTAACTTTCACAAGCGGGTAAAGGCACGTGAGAGCTGCTGAAGCAGAGATCAGACGAGTCAGCCTGTCTCTATTGCCTAGAAAGTGCACAATATAACATCTTACCGTGCATTAGAACTGCGATTGAATGCTGAAGCAGAAAAGAAACCACCCATCTTGAACGACCATGAAAAAACACAGTGGGGGGGGGGGGGGGAGAGTGCTTGAGTGGCAACAATGAACCTTGGTTTTAAGAACGGTCGCGATCGCTGGCGCACATGCTATCTAGGCAAGTAAATAGCACTTTGAACGCGAAGAAACTGTAGAAAAGACCACTTCTCCCTGGAGGAAGCGGCTGCATTTGCTCACACCAGCGTTTCCACGACTGCATTTGCTCACACCAGCGAATTTCCACGATATCAGATCCGAAAGAGTTCCTTAATTTGTGTCACATAACAATTTTTTGCTATTGCATTCACTTGCATTCAACGCACCGTCGTGTTGTTGCCAGAGCTAATCGCAAAACGATCCCCCGAACTCGCGGCTCGGCACCACACGGAAGTGCTAAATGAGTTGACCTCCGAAGATCCCAAGATTCGTTGTCACCGTTGTCTCGGAGAGTTTCCATCAGTGCCTAATCTGACATCCCCTCGGCAGTGACGACACAGCTGTCCAAATAAAAAAAAACAGAAAGGAAAAAAAACAAAGCCGAGCGACATCGGGGGCCACACCATGCGCGTGCAGTGAAACCATGCATGCACGCACGGCATCAAAAATAAAGAGCGAACGACATAGATACCGCGGAACACTGTTTCGTAAAGCACCCTTCATATGCAGCGCGGCCCTGTATATGTGACGCTAAAAGCGTGGCACTGCTAATGCAAAGTGGTTTTCTTTTTTTTTTGTTCTTGGTTTAGAGGGGGGAAGGGCACATTTGCACATGCGCCTGCGCCAGCAAGAACGGCGGCAACTCCAACTCATGGGGCGGAAGCCCGCCGCTTTGCGCTTCATCGGTCGCGGGGTGCCCGCTGAAGGTGCATGCTTGTACCATAATGATGAAATCCGGGCCAAAATTCTTAGATTGTCCGTAGGATAAATTCCTTATGTGAGGAGGTTTATTAGCCGTTAAAGACAGCGACGAGACAGCGTGAAGAACCGTCCAGCGATCGGCACAGCAACAAACCGAAGCACCAGCCGAGAGAGCCGGGCGTTGGCGATGCTGCTTGCTGCAGGCACATCTTCTTCTTGACAATCGCCCCCGCTGAAAAAGGAGCCATCCTGGCGACCTAAGAAGTTTTAGGGAGAGGTTCATGATACGGTTTTAGGCGGGAAACATGGACGATGTCACGTGCACGCCGGCGCATGTCATCCGATCGGGAAACTGGCTCAATTAGGTAATTAACTGGAGAGGTTTTCTCTAAAACTGTGTAAGGTTCCTCGTACCGGGTGACAAGTTTTGATGAGAGTCCTGAAGTTTGGTATGGGATGGCAAGCCACACGAGAGACCCTGGGGCATAGCTGGGAACCGGAAGAGAGGTGCAACGGTTTTCTTTCTGGAGTTGCTGCTCGTCCGATGTGAACGCACGGGCGAGCTGGCGGCACTCTTCGGCTTGTCGAGCAGCATCGGAGATAGGTAGACATTCGGAAGCATCAGAACGGTAGGGAAGTAGAGTATCAATTGTATGGGACGGGTCACGTCCATAAAGAAGAAAGAAAGGTGAAAATCCCGTGGTTCTTTGTATTGCAGTATTGTATGCGACTGTGACGTAAGGGAGAACACGGTCCCAGTTGCTATGATTAGATGCCACGTACATTGAGAGCATATCACCCAGCGTGCGGTTAAACCGTTCCGTTAGCCCATTAGTCTGCAGGTGGTATGCTGTCGTTTTCCGATGAATGACGTCCAAAAGCAGAGCTTTGACGACCTCGGAGAGGAAAGCGCGGCCTCTGTCACTAAGGAGCTCTCGAGGTGTGCCATGTTGAAGGATTAATTGACGTAAAATGAAAGAGATGACATCCTGAGCGATAGCGCTCGGTAAAGCGGCTGTTTCGGCGTAGCGTGTTAGATGGTCGACCACCACTATAATCCACTGATTGCCACCTGGTGTCAATGGAAGGGGGCCGTAGAGGTCAACACCAACGCGATCAAATGGCTTGGCAGGGCACGGAAGTGGCTGCAATTCGCCAGTTGCACGTAGCGGTGTTGATTTGCCTCGCTGGCAGTCAGGACAGCACTGCACAAATTTGCATACAAAATTGTACATGCCGCGCCAGTAATAGCGATGGCGAAAGCGTTCACATGTTTTGAACACCCCGGCGTGGCCACATTGTGGATCGTCGTGAAGAGAGGCGCATACCTGCGATCGTAAAGTGCGTGGAATGACCAGTAGCCACCGGCGGCCATCAGGAGAGTAGTTGCGTCGATGGAGAAGTTGATCGCGGATGGCAAAATGGAAAGCTTGACGTCGGAGGGATCGAGATACCGGAAGGTTGGGCGTACCGGATAGATATCGAGAAAGGGGTCACGACGTTGTTCGGTGGCAATTGAGTCAAGATTTAACGATGACAAGGTCTGCAGGCACGTGTTTCCGCATGTCGGATCTGGTGGCAAAGGTGAGCGGGACAGGGCGTCAGCATCAGAGTGTTTGCGTCCGCAGCGGTATACGACGCGAATGTCGTACTCCTGGATGCGGAGTGCCCATCGCGCAAGGCGGCCAGAAGGGTCTTTCAGCATGGGGAGTTACTAGATCGAACGGGCGGCCGTATAAGTACGGCCGCAACTTTCCAAGCGCCCACACCAGAGCCAAACACTCTTTTTCTGTCACGCTGTAATTAGTTTCGGCTTTAGTCAGAGTGCGGCTAGCGTAGGCTACAACGTATTCTGAATAGCCGGGTTTTCGTTGAGCGAGGACAGCACCTAGCCCGACGCCGCTGGCGTGGGTGTGCACTTCGATAGGAGCCGTCGGGTCGAAGTGGCGAAGAATAGGTGGGGAGGTGAGCAGACGGCGCAGAGTAGTGAAGGCAACGTCACATGCAGGGGAACAGGAGGAGACGTTCACGTCACCGCGAAGAAGCTGGGTTAATGGTGACATGATGAATGCAAAATTGCGAACAAAGCGCCGAAAATATGAGCATAAGCCTACAAAACTGCGAAGTTCCTTCATGGTCGTTGGCTTGGGAAATTCTGCGACTGCTCGAAGTTTTGCTGGGTCAGGTAATACACCGTGCTTCGACACGATGTGGCCTAGGATGACGAGCTCGCGTGCAGCGAAGCGGCACTTTTTCAGGTTAAGCTGCAGGCCAGCGTTGGTCAGACAAGTCAAAACGTGCCTGAGGCGAAGGAGGTGCGTAGGAAAGTCGTGCCAGAAAACCACGACATCGTCGAGGTAGCAGAGGCACATATTCCACTTGAGGCCATGTACCGTATTATCCATAAGTCGTTCAAACGTGGCGGGCCCGTTACAAAGCCCAAAGGGCATGGCGTTGAACTCGTATAGTCCGTCAGGTGTAATAAATGAAGTTTTTTGGCGATCAGCTTCAGCCATTGGAACTTGCCAGTAGCCAGACCGCAAATCTAGCGACGAGAAGAATTCCGCTCCGTGAAGGGTGTCAATGGCGTCATGAATGCGCAGCAAAGGATATACGTCTTTGCGGGTTATCTTATTCAAACGACGACAGTCCATGCAAAATGGGATGGATCCGTCTTTCTTACGCACTAGGACGACAGGAGACGCCCAGGGACTGTGAGATGATCGAATGACGTCTCTACGAAGCATATCTTCGACTTGATCGTTGATGACGCGGCGCTCTTCAGTGGAGACACAGTATGATCTTTGGCGCAGTGGCTGGTGTAGGCCGGTGTCAACATGATGCTTGACTTGTGACGTACGGCCTAGTTGAGGTTGGGACACATCGAAAGAATTCCGGAACTCATGCAGAAGATCAAGCAGGTCGGCATGTTCGGTGGGAGTGAGGGTGTCGGCGATGGCGCTGGAAAACGTATCCTTGGACGACTCCTCGAGGGCCGACAGTGATTTTGGGTGGTCGCAGTAGTCATCCGGGACATCAACCAAAAACGAAGAGTCGAGATCTTGCACGTGGCCGAGACATTTTGCCGCAAGCAAAGTGA